ACTGAGAACAAACTGAGGGTTGATGGGGGGTGGGAGGGAGGGGAGGGTGGGTGATGGGTATTGAGGAGGGCACCTTTTGGGATGAGCACTGGGTGTTGTATGGAAACCAATTTGACAATAAACTTTATATATTGAAAAAAAAACAAATGGAATATACTCAACCTTTTTGTGCTTTGGTTTTTACAACTGTAAAACAGGGATAAAAATAGTGCCTACTATTAATTAAATGAGGACTTAGAACTGTGCCTGAGACATGTGTAAGTACAAATACTAGGATGGGACCCTGACTGATGTGGAATACAGTTCATGTTTATGTTTGTCTTCAGGGTCTCCTTTCCGTACCCCCTTTGAGTCTCTCCTATGACCATCTCATCACACTGCTCTCCTGTTGATCACTCTTCTCCAGGGCTCCAAAATTAGCTTTCCCTGTTCTCCCTCCACCAGCAAAACTGTCACTTTAGGGCCCAATATTCCAGCTAAAATAAGGAGTAAAATAGACTGACAAAATGAATTCCTTTAGTGGTGAGTTATTCTTACACAAATGCTTGCATTTTAAAAGATTTGTCAATCCAAATGATCTTAATTTTGGAGATTTCATACTGTGAAAGAAAGTGAAGAAGGTCAAGTAATGGAAAAATTATGATTCAATGTGATGTGTCTCAGAGGTTACGTTTACAAGCCACACAGCGTCCTTTTTAAAAAAGAAGAGTCACGCTAAGTGTGCTATTTGTGAAGTTCTTGGAATGCCAGTGAATCTGCAGTCTAGAGCTACAGTGGTACCATGTGCTGCCTTCATTTTGGCAAACATTTGTCATGTGCCTGTCGTGTGCATAACAGAGATCTATATATACACAATAATCTCATGCTAGAGTTGTCAGGAGAAGAATCTCCTTGAGGAACATCTGATGGATAATCTCAGCTATTTGGCAGTGACTCTACTGTTTTCTAAAACATTGATATGAATGTATCTGGGGAGTGGGAGAAGGGCTGTGGTCAGAAGGGTCAGAAAACACTAGAGTGTTTCTTAAGGTCTGTGTATGGGAGTGTCTGTTTTGGGAAAGGAAAGGAGTTATTTAGGGTATTATGTATAGTCTGGTCCCAGTCCTGTAAGACTCTGGGTCTGAAGTGGAGGGATCTGCCTTATTTGGCTTTTATATTCATCAGCATTTTTTGTGCATCTTAATTTTGTAGTGATTATATACTGACATTATGAATAATTTTATTTTGTAAAATTTGGAATTGTGTTTTCAAAATCTCTTCTAAGTAGAACAGTTTATTCTGCATTTTTGGGAAATATCCAGACTTAGCCAGGGAAGAGAAGGGAAGATAGGAAGGAAATAGAGCTGAAGTCAGACAAGAAGAAGGACCTAATATAATGGTGATAGAGATACAGAAACCAGAGAGAGATTTTTCAAAAAAGGATAGTACAACACAAAACGCATTTTGGAAACAAACTCGGGATTAGTTTTAATCTCTCTGAATTACAGTTGATTCATCTGTAAATTGGAGAGAATAACGCTTCATTTGGAGGGTGGTTTTGAAGATTAAATGAAATAATGAAAGCATTCAAGGCATCTATTATATAGCCCTTGGTAAAAATCAGGCTTTTAATAAATGATAGCCTAAAAAGAGAAGGGCTGATGGCCAGTTGTCTTCGCTGGGTTCTGATGGCAGTTAGACAAAGCAGATGAAGAGGAAGTCTCCCAGAGCCTGGCCAACAAAAAGAATCTAAAGGTCTGTTATCTTACTCTGTGAAGAGGGAGTATAAAGGTGAACTCAGAAAAGGAAGTCAGAGCCCAAGGTTTTAGCCTAAATCATA